AGAAGGGAGAGGGGATTGTGGCATGTGTGTGCCTGTGTGTGTGTGTGTGGCGGGGGGTGACTTCTCACTTTCTGTCTCTCTATCTCTCTTCTGGCAAGTGCACACATCCTATAGCAAAAATCTCTCTAAACAATAAAAACGAAGTAATGAGTAAGACTTACATTACTGAGAGCGAGTCAGACATATAGGCTACAACACAAGGGTACAAGGGTTCTTCAAAGACTTTATGGAAAATACGTATTAAGAAAAAGCCATGGGACCAGCAGTTGACGTAATGGCTATGTCGCTGAACTCCCATGTAGCAGACCGCAGTTCAAGTCCCAGACCTGGTGACTTAAACTCAAGCCGGGCGCATGTGCGTGTGTGCCCAAGATCCCGTGAGGAGAATGGAGGAGAAGGGATTGCAGTGTGGCCATCCCCCCTGGGGGGTGATTTCTCACTTTCTGTCTCTCTGTCTTTCTGGCGAGTGCATGCGCACTACAGCAAAAACCTCTCTGAAAAAAACACGCATGGATTTCCATTTTTTCAAACCAAAATAAACTCTTACTTTACTTCCATTTTCCATGAATTTGCCAAATTCCCTCATATAACAAAACATCCAACGGCTCTCACGATGTACATCTGAAGTTTGACTGTGAAGTAGGGGAAGAGCAACTAACCCCGAGTTCTCAATGTGACCACCTCCCCGTGGACGCAGCAGTTCCAGTGAGGGTACAGCCCAGGTGGGCCAGAGGCCTTCCAGCAAGGCAGATAAAATGCACTCTGAACTGTGGAGCGTGGCGCTTGACCTCTGAACATTTTCTATCCCCAAGAGACTGTCAACGTTGTACTGCCATTAGCGTCAGTTAGGACAGACGACAGGGCAAGAACACCTCCTAGGAGTCGGCAGGAAGTGACCATCCCACCAAAGATCCTCTAGACAGCCCTCCTGTGGCCAAACCAAGTTACTTGCCCCATGAGTCTATTCTTCTGGAAGAACTACAGCACTTCCACAGTGAATTTTATTTTATTCTTATTTTTTTTAAATGTACCATGGGGCACGTGAGCTCACCAGAGAGAAAGAGAAAGAGGAGGAAAGCAAGTCTCCATGGCTGGGACTTGACTGGTGGTCAGTCAAGTGAGAGTCCAGTGCCCTAACCGCCACGCCACCTGCTGGGCCTTTCCTGTGTTCCAGGATCCGGCTGTTCAGCCTCTAAAGCCTTTGAGCTGGCCAGCAGAAGGCTGCGGGCCTGGCCTCTGTTTCCTCCTCCACTTTGTCCTCACGCTGCTCCCCAAACCCCCTGCATTTCTCCACGAGTTCCACCCACCTCAGGGCCTTTGCCCGTGTTTCCCACCACCCACGCCACAACGCGGGGCTTGGAACGGCGACCTCTCTTTCTCCCTCCATGCCCACACCTCACATCATCCTGTCATTCCTCCAGTCTTCGTGTAAGGATCCTCTTCCTTCAATAAGCCTCCGCTGACCACTTCTAACCCCTATCCCTAAGCCGCCTCCTATACACTTTCAAATACCGACCGTTTGCAGCTACTCGTTTAAGGAGCCATTTTTCACTCTAGCACCATCTGACTCAGTACTGACCATAAACCAGAGGCTCAAAAACTACTTCTCAGTCAGTTCATTCACTAGAAGACAAAATCCCTCCCTCAAGAACGCATAGTCTTGGTTCTGTATTTTCACCTTTTGTCACAAAATGAATCAAAACTTTTCACATGTGCTTTCCCATAAGTAAGGCCATGGGTTCATGGAAAAGAAGCAGTTGTGAGCCTTATGTAACAGCACAGCTTAAAGACCCTCCTTACCCCAACTTCGTCCAGCGTGGTCCTGGTCCTACGCAGGGTCTGGAGCTGGCCGAGGGGCTGCGGCTCTGCAGCGCCTGTTCACAAGGAGGTCGGAGGTGGCTTGAGTGTGAATCCACAGGCAGCCGCCCTGCAGCAGCACCTCTCGGCCCCCCCCGGCTCCTTTTCCCCCGGCGCCCCCCCCC